CATCATTTTCCAGCCCATCTAAGGTACAAGCGAACTCACAGTCGTGAGACCTGACTGCTGGTCTCCTAGGCTTGGTCCCATTGACTAGTTACTATACTCCATGTAGCATACAGCATTCCAAAATGACTGCCCGTGTTGATGCATATTTGGAGGCATTTAATATGTACTTGTGAGAATGGCCAGGTTATCCTTCTAAAATATTTATAGGCTATTAGACATACCCTCAAGGGGAGCTGTGACATTTCTCCTCCTCCTCCTCCTCCTCCTCCTTCTTCCTCCTCCTTTCCCTCTTCCTCTCTTTTTCCTCTTTCTGTGTTAAAGTATGTATTCTGGATATTTTAGGCAGAATTCCTCAAAGTGTATTTAAGGCTTAAGATTTCCTTAAAGTGCTGTGTAGTTTATTTTGAATTTCCAAGCTCAACACAAACAGGTTTCTTTACTGCAAGGCTACCTAGGGCCCTGTGGATCACCAAGGAGGAGAATGCAGGCTGTGTTTATCACACTGATTGACTGTGGAGCTCTTTGGGAAAAGGACTCAGTGACTACCCTGCCCAGGGATGGGGGAGATGATGCCAAAAGTCAGTGATTTCGTCCATTGAGTCCTTCTTCTGGCTTAGGGTAGTTGGATGGAGGGCAGGCTCAGGAAGCAGTCTTATTGCTGCCAGGAAGTACCACTGTGCACTGAGCACCGGCCAGGGCTCTCTCAGAGCCACAGGGAAAGCAGTGGAGTTGTGAAGACCTTGCATTCCTCAGACCCTCTTCCAGAGCCGTGGCTGGCCCGTGGAAAGGGTTGTTCGGTCATCTTCTGGTCTCAGAGCCCAGCTCCAGCCCCAGTGAAGACAGTGAGAAAATCAAGACCACTAAGGATGATATGTGCACCCCTTTATCCAGTGAGGTGCCTCATATTAACATCACGCTCTATTTATTTTTATTTAAATCAGATAACAAAGCATAGATGCCTGCACATACATATGCCATGAAAGTTTATGTGCTGTTTCTGCTTAACAAACTCAAGGGAAATAGAGTTGACAGAAAGCCACACGGCTCTTCCTTGCTGTTCTTAGAACCCGCAGTCTCCAGGAGGAGCTGTGAGAGGAAGTTACAACTTCTTCACAGAATCAGGACCTGAATTTTGTTAATCCGCCACTTGTACTTCTTCTCATTACCACACTGTGGCGCTGTTGACAGCCACTTCTACCTGGTCTGATCCTCATAGATCTTAGAGTCTTGGAAGGGGCCACTACTCCCATTTGTATGGATGATTGTTCTTTTCTTTTCTTTTCCTTTCTTTTTTTTTCTTTTCTTATTTTATCTTCTCCTCTCCTCTCTTCTCTTTTCTCTTCTTTTCTTTTTTCCCCCTAAACTCGGGCAAAGGGGTTTCTTCTCATCATGTTCTCAGGGGTGAGTTCATGATGTTTGGCTCCAAGGATCCCATGCCCCACAACAGCAAAACATCTTCCCAGGGTTAACCAATGTGACCTCCCTCAGCAGACGCTAAATACTAGCACTATAACTCCAATCTGCAGTGGGGCATCCCTCCAACAGGAGATCTAACCCAATAAGATCCTTTTTAGGTCAATGCAAACCTTTCTGATCCCCTGATGGGGTGCCAAGTCACCAAGAGAACTACCACAGAGGAGCAGGAAGCTGGGTATGGCTGGTTAGCATTTATTAGTTCATGATTCCTAACCACAGGGCCTGGGACAAGTGACTTAACTTTTATGCACCTCTGTTTTCCCACCTGTAAAAATAGGTGATGTTAACTGCCTCACAAGAATGGTGTGAGAACATAAGAACATTCCAGAATAGCGCTTAGAACTGTGTCTCACACATCGTAAGCAATAACAGCTGAAATTATCATTATTTCACAGCAAGTCTGCTGACGGGAGTGGGCCTTGCATGCAGAAGGCTCCTAGAAAGTGTCATTGACTATCAGGGCCATCAAATGGTCACGGGCAATGCTGGGTCTCGGTTCCTAATATGGGGTAAGAATTGCTATGAGAAGACACAGTCCACTGCAGGGGTCTCCTCGTCCTGCTCCCTGGCAGCTCATCAGTCTTTTTCCAGCAGTAGAGAGAGAATTGGCCTAGAACTACATGGGCCCAAGTGAGACGCCTTATGTGAGTCACTTTTATGAATATTTTTATGAAAAAACAAATGTTAATGCACCCACTGTTTGTTTTAAAAATGAGTCCTGAATGTTAAATCAACAGGAGAAGTTGTGTTCTTAAACTTGTCATTAATATAAATAAACTTCCGCCCTCTAGCAGATCAAATATAAACAATCAGGTCTAGATCCCAAATTCTTTTTTTTTTTTTTTTTTTTTTTTTTTTTTTTTTCGAGACAGGGTTTCTCTGCGTAGCTTTGCGCCTTTCCTGGAACTCACTTGGTAGCCCAGGCTGGCCTCGAACTCACAGAGATCCGCCTGGCTCTGCCTCCCGAGTGCTGGGATTAAAGGCGTGCGCCACCACCGCCCGGCTCTAGATCCCAAATTCTTAAAGAAGCGGAACAATGCTGGCAAGTCTCTCTCTCTCTCTCTCTCTCTCTCTCTCTCTCTCTCTCTCTCTCTCTCTCTCAGATTTAATTTATTTGTATACTGTGTTCTCTCTGCATGTATGTCTGCAGGCCAGAAGAGGGCGCCAGATCTCATTACAGATGGTTGTGAGCCACCATGTAGGTGCTTGGAATTGAACTCAGGACCTCTGGAAGAGCAGCCAGTGCTCTTAACTGCTGAGTGGTCTCTCCAGCCTTGCTGGCAAGTCTCTCGAACCATCTTTATGTGCCCAACACTGAGTGAGGGACTTTACAAGAAAAAGCCTGGCCCTGCCCATTGAGGCTCACTGCCTGAGTAAAGTCTCAGATACTCAGTCCTGACCTGACAGCCCAGGCTGGGATCTGGAGGTTACCCTAACAGAGCCCAGGGTCTGTCAGAGAAGAATTGTTTTCTAGAGCATTCCTCTACAATCAGTGTGTGTGTGTGTGGGGGGGGGGGATCTGGGGTGCTGCCCACACGAGCGGGGAGATAGGAGTTTTGGTCCTGATGTCCTTACACATCAGCTTCCACTTGAGAGCAAGTGCTAGTCTCTGGGTCCCTGATTGGCTCGTTGTTCTCAGTCAACATGGAGGGAAACGCTAATGCGAGACAGACTTGGGGTCTGCGAAACGGACAAACGTGGTAGGGCACAGAAGACATTCAGTCACCGGAGACTGCCACCAGTTCTCGGGCAGGGAGAGGATCGGAAGACTCGACCACTGCCAATGCCTCGGGATGCCTCATCACTCTCGGTGCGAGCTGCTTGCTTCCCCATCCAGTAAACTCTGAGCATCTTCCTCAAAGGGAGAATGAGCAGTAGTGTGACCAGTAGGAACACTGTGGACACACACACACACAGGCAGGGAGCAGCATCAGAGAGGCTTGCCTCCTGGGGGGGGGGAGGGGAGAGGGGAGAAGAACATATAACTTGAATCCGATAAGCACAGCTGATGGGATCTGGTGGAACTTAAACTCAACACCGACCAATTATTTCCAAAATAACAGCTTTCTAAAACCTGGGAAGGGCGACATGTAATTATGCCCCACCCTGGCAAACCCAGTTTTTGGCCTAATCCTCTTTCTTGGTTATTCAGCCAGGATTTATGGAGCATCTATTACATGCCAGGGACGGGGCTCGGCTTGGGCAGATGCAAGACAAAGAAGACACCCTGTTAAGTGCTCTAGAGGAGAAGGCCAAGAGGATGGGAGGCGGTGTATCCCGGACCCAGTGTAGCCTGGGACAGGGAAGGAGCAGGTGACAGTCTCTTGGCCAGGCAACTTTGGAAGTGCTCACTCACAACAGGAGCTCTTTGTAATCCGAGCTGTCCTTCATTCACCAGAGAGACGGCTGTAATGATTTGAGATACCTGCTTCAACTCCTTCTGCTAGCTCAATAGACTTCTTTAAAATATTTTTATGATTTTTAATCCCGTCTTCGTGCGTGGGTGTGTGCACATGAGCACAGGTGCCCACGGAGGCAAAGGATCCTTTGTGGCTGGAGTTGACAGGCAGTTGTGAGGCCCTGATGCAGCCACTGGAAACCCAGTCCTCGGCAGGAGCAATACCTGCTCTTAATCACGAGCCATCTCTCTAAGCCCCCAGTAGGCTTTCCTTCCGCCATTTTTAGATGGAAGGCCCTGAAGGGTAACAGTGATGAGACAATCTGCGTTCTCAAAGGAAATGGCATTGATGCCCCCGCCCCAGGCCAGGCCAGGTACGGGGGTGCTCTGGCATATGTTTTTTGTTTGTTTGTTTGTTTTTCTCTTTTGGTTCTCTTAGGATCTGTAAAGGATGTTTTCTGTCTCTCCAAATACGGAAATCTGACTCAAGGATGTCACCCGACTATTGAGGAGTAGACCCAAGATTTGAGCTCTGACCAACACCTCCCCCAAACCACACTCTCTTCCCTCCTGATCGTTTCTGGAGATAGGAGTGCCACAAGGGCCTTTCCTTATTGATATGTCCACTCTTCTCTGCTTTTAGAAAAATTCTGGGGCCTCTTCTGCAAAGCTGACACACTCGCTGCCCTCACCCCTTCTCCGCAGCTTGGGGATCCTGCGACAAGAACCGGTGAAGAACGAGAACTGGGCATCGGAGGACCTGGTCATGGAGGCTCACAGCTAGCGTCAGGGACAGGTGCCAGTGTTGGGCTGCAGGAAGAGGCAAGACTCGCAGATCACAAGGTCCAGGGAAGAGGGCGAGAGTCCTCAGATTACTCAATACACGGTACCCCAAGCAAGATCGCAGCAGGTACCTGCTGAGACTCCGCAAGGCGCTGCACTTGTCCAGAGCTATGACTCGCTTTAAGAAGTCCAAGTCAACCCAAAAAAGCAAAATGAAGCCTTAGCAACTCGCGGCGCCCCAGAGCTGCTAGCGATGTGACTTGTCCCCCGTAGTCAGGACCACACAGAGCCTGAGCAGAGGCCATTCGGTGAGGGGCCTCATCCTGGGTCCAGCTCCACGGGGCGCAATGAACAGTAGTAACTTCTGCCGGGCCCTGGTGGACCGCGGGGCTCCCAGCGGCATGCAGCTGGGTGTCGTGGCCCCTGCAGGACAGACGCCGCTGGCAACCACGGAGCCCCTGGGCAACGTCCCCTTCCTGCTGTACCCTGGCCATGCCGAGCCGCCTTACTACGACGCCTACGCTGGGGTGTTCCCCTACGTGCCCTTCCCCGGCGCCTTCGGGGTCTACGACTACCCGTTCGAGCCCGCCTTCATCCAGAAGCGCAACGAGCGCGAGCGGCAGCGCGTCAAGTGCGTGAACGAGGGCTACGCGCGCCTCCGCGGCCACCTCCCCGGCGCCCTGGCGGAGAAGCGGCTCAGCAAGGTGGAGACCCTGCGCGCCGCCATCCGCTACATCAAGTACCTGCAGGAGCTGCTGAGCGCCGCCCCCGACAGCGAGCCGCCTGCAGCCACCTCCCCGCAACCCGCTTGCCAGGGCAATGCGCCACCACCCGCCTTCCTGGTGGCCGAGTGCAGTGGGTCCTCCTCCTTCTCCTCCTCGCCTTTCTTGGAGTCGGAGGAACCCAGCCTTTGATGGGGCCAGAGGCCTCGACTTGTCCCTCTAGGGAACAGTATGGGGGGCTTCTGGGACATCTGTGCCGGGCAGGACAGTGATGTTCAAGGACTGTGCTCCCACCTCCACCCACTTGGGCCAAATGTGCGAGCGCGGGGTAGAAAGGGCGAGATAGGGATCACAGGAGGTGGTGAATGCAGTGAGGAGCGGAGCTCTGGACAGCTCCTGGACCCGACGGCTTCTTGGCCTTAGCGCGGCTCTGGGCTCTGTCGTCCACCACAGCAACAAGTCCCCTGGAAGCCTGCAGCACTTTGTGATGCCTGGATCTTCCACAAGATGGCCTCAAATGCTAGCGGGGAGCTTGATTGCCTCTAGAGATCAGGAATGCGTGTGTGTGTGTGTGTGTGTGTGTGTGTGTGTGTGTGTGTGTGTGGTGTGTTACACGCGCGCACTTCTGTCGCTGGTGCTGGTTGCTTGACAGCGAATGATCACCTCCGCTCTCCCTCTCCCACCCTTCGGTATAGTCTTCTGGTCTTTTCCCAGGTTAAGGACTTCCATCCCCCCTCCCCCACCCCCAAGACTTGGAAGCTTCTAGGGTCCATTGACACTGTGTTTACAACCAAGGGCTAAATAAAAGGATTGTTGGGTTTTGTGACTGCTGAGCTTTTGTCCGTGCCCACTCCCCACCCTGTTCCTCTTCTTCCTTTGATCCCCCAGCCCAGAACACTTGCTGCCAGGGTGGATGGGGTGTTGGCTAACTTATGCCGTCAGCTAACATTTCCAGAGAGCTTAATGCACGCTGCGACTGCGCGGTGGCGGGATCAGGGTTGCAGGGAGAAAGCACACAAACCTTGTACAATGAGGGACGTGAGGGCCAGGGGCCATGTAAGAGCACGCACATTCAAGGTTGCCTGGCAGGCTTTCACTTCAGTGGGAGGGTGGCTCTATTTTATTTTAATTTGTTGTTTATTTATTTATTTATTTATTTATTCATTCATTCATTCATTTATTTATTTATTTATTTATATTTTAGTTTTTCGAGACAGGGTTTCTCTGTGTAGCTTTGGAGCTGTCCTGGATAATCATCAGAAGTTTTCTTGTGTTCTGCCCTGCCCGCAGTCAGGACAAGTCTTTCCCACTGGTGTCCCCAAACTGATTAGTCCCAAGTAAACACACAGAGGCTTATGCTATTCACAAACTGGAGGGCCTATGGCTCAAGCTTCTCGCCAGCTAGCTCCTATAACTTCACCCATTTCTATTAATCTGTAAGTTGCCACGGGGCCATGGCTTTACTGATACTTTTACATCTTCTTCTCCTGGTGGTGGCTTGCGGCGTCTCTCTGCTTCTGCCTTTCTTCTCCCTGTCTCTCTCCAGCTGGAATGTACCGCCTAACCTTATTCTGCCTCACCACTGGACAAACAGCTGTATTTATCAACCAATCAGAGCAACACATACCCACAGCATTCAGAAAGACATCCCACAGCACTGGATCTCGCTCTGTACACCAGGCTGGCCTCGAACCCACAGAGATCCGCCTGGCTCTGCCTCCCGAGTGCTGGGATTCAAGGCGAGCATCGCCCAGCTGGTGGCTCCATTTCTGACAGCAGACGGCATTGGAGGTTCAGGGCTGATGCTGACAGACACTGAGCCTGGAGTGGGTGGAGAATTGCTGAGCTGGGCCATCACCCAGAACCTCCTCTGGATAAAGCCATGGAGCTGGGGTGGGGAGAAACTTAATCTTAGCACCAGGGACCTATCTAGTTTGTGGCTCCACACGGCAAGCTCCTCTTCCTGAACTCCATTATCTAGCTACGAAACCTTCCTGTCTCCCACTGCCCCTGCCGCGCCTCAGGCCTGGGTGTAAATCACCCCTTTACACCCAGCCCTTGCCCTCCTTGGGGGCAGTTTGGGATGTCACTGGCTGGACTGGAAGGAATGACAGCTGCCTGGCCTCAGGAGCTTGGGCTGGGCAGCACGGGCTAATTTTACTCGCTGGGAGCAGAGAGAGTAATCCTCCCACCCCCACCCCCGCCCTGTCTGATTGCCTCAGCAGGACAGGCTCAGTTAGGCCCAGTCCCCAAGGTGGGGGCATTGGGGACACAGGCAGGAGAGGGCCGTGGGCTGGGGGAGAAGGGAGAAGAGGGGTGTCAGGGAAGCCATGGAGCCGTCCTCACCCCAGGATGAGGGCCTGAGGAAGAAACAGCCCAAGAAACCTGTTCCTGAGATTCTGCCGAGGCCACCCCGAGCCTTGTTCTGCTTGACTCTCCAGAACCCCCTCAGGAAGGCCTGCATCAGCATCGTGGAGTGGAAGTATCCTTTTTATCACCTGAGCAAGCGGGAGTGGGGAGGGCATGGGAGGCAGGGGAAGGGTACAGGGCTGTCACAAAGCTCGGGCGTTTAGTGTCAGGGTGACTGGGCTCTTAGCAGGGGCTTAATCAAATACCTCAGACCAGCATAAGGAATCTTGGTGAAGGGAGGAAGGAAGGTCTCCACCACAATGGAAAGAAGAGCTTCCTGGGGGCCCCGAGGAGACCACTGAGATTATGAGTGACAGCCAGAGAGAGCGAGCGAGCTATTGATCATCTTAGGAAGGGCCTGTGCTCATGGGAGCTGTTTCCAAGTGTACCCAAGTCTCTATCTATCATCATGGGGTACCACTCAAGGTTTTGAATAAGAAGACAAAAGAGGTAGAAGCTCCGGAGGAAATCCTCCATGGGGGGGTGGGGGTGGGGGTGGGGGGAGATGACAGGTCCGGGACAATTTCCACTGACTCAAGTCTCAGTTACAAAGGGAGCTGGTGACATGGATTTGAGGGAAGGCCTACTCTTAGTGGTTCCTGGATGCTGGCGACCAAACTTGGGTGTTTTAGCTCAGAGGCAGTGTTCTGACAGTGACAGGGGCCTTGATCTCTCTCTGGGTTTGCGTGAGTTCTGGAAGAAGAAGGATGAAAATATCTGGGTTATTTGGGGGAAAGGTGGGGCCGCAGAGAGGAGGCCTGCGTGAGTGGGTTCTGAGAGTCAGGAATATTTGAAATATTTTTGACATGCTCTGGAAGAGTGGGATTCCGTCAGCTGTGCCTTGGAGAAAGGGATAACTGGAAGGAGGGTAAGGGACATATGGAGCCACGTAGAGACAGTGGGTCTGGGCTCGGGCCTGGTTCCCAGAGCTGCACTGATTCCCCATCACCTCCAATCCCTCGCCTGTCTCCTGTGAGGGCAGTTCCCCTGGCAGGCTCTCCCTTCCCTCCACTCTACTCCACTGAGCTCGCTCCACCCACAGATCTATTCTGTGACCCCTCCCCCGTCCCCTGTCTCTCTTCAAACGCTGAAACTGCTGGGAAGAGAATGGGATTTTGATCAAACCTATCTCCATAGCATGCCTTCTGCTTCCCACCCCTAACGACATACCAAAGACTCCGCCTCAGTTTCCCTTCCTCACATTGGCTTTCTCAATGGCCAGTAAGTCTGGAAGGGTGGATTCCAGAGCACCCTTTGGAAATGGCTGCTGCTGCGGGCCAGGTGTATCTCAGAAGGGGATGTGTGAGCACAAGCCTACGCATGTGAGTGTGTGCACAGAGCTCTGAAAGTCTGGCTTTCCTCTCCGTTTCTCCTCTTTTCCAGTCCTACCGAACATACATCAACCCCCAGCCTCCCTGGCCATTTTGGGGGACAAGCCCCCACAAATCATCATGTGGCCTGACTGTCTCTTAGCGTTACAGTGATTTCTAGACTGGCCTTTAGTAGTCTCCTCCCCTCAACCCCACACATCCCACAGATGACTCAGGGGCCCTCCTTAACCCTGGCATCAGACCCTTCGAGACCATCATCTTGCTGACCATCTTTGCCAACTGCGTGGCCCTGGCAGTGTACCTGCCCATGCCTGAAGATGACAACAACACTCTGAACCTTGGCCTGGTAAGAACATCTTCCCATCCTTCCCTTGCGCTCCTCAGCCCCGGCTGGGAGGCACCCTGGGGCTTTGCTCTGGTGGGAGAAGCTGGTGCCTTGGCTCCCTAACAACACTGACCCCAATGTCCTCACACTGCCGAGCTGCTCGGTGGCCCTGAGGCTTTACCAGACTGAACCTGTGCAGCTCCGTTCCAAGATCCCCTCCATCAGTCAGCATTCACCATGCCAAGCACCCCACAGGCACGAACTCAGGGAGCTTTCCCAAGAGCTACCCAAAGTGGTACCCGCTGACAGATGTGGAAGCTGGGCCACAGCAGGGTGAACCAGGGATGCTGAACACGAGCCTCCTCCCCTGGATGGAGTCCCACTGAGCTCACCTACTGGGGGTATATGATACAGAAATGTGCAGAAAGGGCATGACAGACCTGAAGTGCCTCCCTCCAACCCTGTCACCAGCAACACAGCAAATTCTGTGCTGAGTAGTTTGCATTAGTGAATTACTGAACTTCCACAGTAATCTCCACGGTATAATATTAGATTCTATGGAAACAAATAAGTAAATTAATAAATAAATAAAACAAAACCCCACCCATGATAACCCTGAGGGCTAGAGTTTAGGTATGTCATGTAGGATAGGCCCCATAAAAGCTTCTAACAGGGCCTCATACCCTGGTCTTACTGACTTTGGAACTTGATATTCTATTTATTTTTAAAATATTTTTATTTTCAAACTATGTGTATACTCGTGTGACTCTGTGTGGGCATTTACAATATCTACAGAGGCCAGAAAATGACACTGAATCACCTAGAACTGGAGTTAAAGTGGTTATGAGCTGCCCAATATGGGTGCTGGGAACTGAACTCAGGTACCCTGCAAGAACAGTACTGACTTTTAACCATGGAGCCATCTCTCCAACACTTCTGTTGGCTGTATCCCTAAGGTGGTAAACAGAATGCGGACTCCTAGAGAAGTCCACCTAGAAACAAAGAGCTGACTGGGCTTGTGACTCAATGGTGGGATACTTGCTTCTCATCCAGAAGGCCTAGGGCTCTACTCTAGTACCACAAAAACTAACCAACAGGACAGGAGAATGGAGTTCCATTCCCCAGGACTTTCCCCTGCACTGGAACCACAGGGCTTGGAGACAGGAGGCCCATCTGCATGCATCCAGGGCCTGAAAGAAAAGTGTGTGTCTCTGCCTCTCCTCAGGCTGGTTTCCATGGTGATCTATTCTGAATTGGGGAGGCGCTGGGTGTTAAATGTGTGTTTGCTGGGAATGGAAATAGCTGAGTTCCTAGAATGGAGAGAGAGCGGTACTAAATGAGGGCAGGCCAGCATGGCCTCTGCTGCCGGCGAAGCTGTTGTGTGCAGCCAGGGCCTTCTGCAAAAGAAGTTCAATGATCCATGTCCCTGGGTTTAGGGAGAGTTCTTGGTCCACCCCATACTTTGTGACTTCGTAATGTGGTTTCATGTGTACTTTAAGAAGTTGAATCCTGCTGGGTGATAGTGGTGCACACCTTTAATACCAGCACTCGGGAGGCAGAGCCAGGTGGATCTCTGGGAGTTCGAGGCCAGCCTGGTCTACAGAGTGAGGTCCAGGACAGGCACCAAAGCTACACAGAGAAACCCTGTCTCTAAAAAAAAAAAAAAAAAAAAAAAAAAAAAAAGAGGAGGAGGAGAAGAAGTTGTTGAATCCTTTTGGTACTGTGTGCTTAGGATCCTGCCACTAGGAAGGTGGAGACAAAAGCATCCTTACTGGCCAGTTGTCCTAGCTGAATCAGTGAGCCTTAGTTCCTAGTGAGAGGCTCTGCCTCAAAAATCAAGGCGGCCAGCTCCTGGGGAATGATACCCTAGGTTTGTCCTCTGGTCTCTACATGCATGCACACACATGTACACATGAATGCACACACATGAACATGTGTACATACTTATATGGGCACACGTGTATGTGTGTGAATGCACACATGCACATGTGAGAATACACACACACACACACACACACACACACACACACACAAGAAATTGACTGTTTTTGCAAGAAACTGCCTTCTTTTAAGGACATTAAACCACACCTTAGTGATTATTCCATCTTCCATCTTGAAACAAAATGGTTTGTGGTGTGTCCCTTTAGTCTGTGGGCTGGAACTGCAGCTCCCCAGTCAAGTCTAGAGCTCCAAGACATACATACCGTCATGAGTGTGCTGGAAGAGGGCAAGCTGACCAGCATCGCCTGTGGGACCAGTCAGCACACCTGGGACACTGACCACCTGGGAATAACTCTAATCTGAACCCCCTCGTGTGAAGTCCAAAGAGAACAGGCCATACCCAGGGTCAAAGGCCGCTTCTGCCTGAAGTCTCCGCAGCATCCTGAGGTCTCCTCACCACCACTTGTCCATCATTTGTTCATCTCCCCAAAACCCAGAAGAGGACAATGAGAGAGACAGAGCAGATTGAGCAATTATCTCTTCCTTATTATTTTGGGTAGATACTTGGGAGCCTACAGAAAGCTAGCAATATTCCAGTTGCCTACGGCAACACTTAGCTTTTAAAAGGGGATACTCCAGGATGAAATCTGCATTAATTTTGTTGTTGATTTATGAATATATATTTAGTACCTGTGAGAGACCTAGAAATACTCCAGAGGTGCCATTGTGAACCAAGAGGACGATTCCCATCTTCACAGAGCTCAATTAATTTAGTCAATTTCAAAACAAATAATATAATGAATTAGTTAAATATGTGCTTTAAAATGCAATGAGGAGCATGTGAGGTCTGAGGAAGAGACTATAAACTAGTCTTGGGGGTCAGAGAGGCTCCCCAAAAGACAGACTGTTTAACCCAAGGCCTGGAAGATGCAGGCAGGGCCAGCCTTGTGGCTATACATAGGTTCAGAGCTCCACCCCTCTTGGAATGCATGCTCCTGGTCATGGCACTGAAGTTTTAATTTCACCTTGGAATTTAAGTTTTGTAAGGAGAGTCCACTGGGACAGTGACCCATATTCTGGGAGCTTGGACACTCAACTCCCACTCACTCAGATTCTGCTGCCTCCCTACCGAAAGCACAGACTCTTAGATTCCTCCCTCCCGGGGCCTGGGCTCCCTGGGAGTGGGCAAGGCCTGATTAGAATTCAAATCCTTTGATGACTCAGAGATGGGCATGGTTGTGGATGTCCCTACCTTGGGCTGGCCCTGCCATAGCCCACTGCAGAGCTGAAGTCCAAGGCCAAGCCCCCGTCTAGGGACACGGTGTCTCCTGGAGGGGAGGTCCAGATGCTCTTAGGTGTTGTTTGCTCACCACAGGCCGCAGTAGCAGATTTGTGTGATGGGAACGTGCAGGTTCCCCTTCTTCACATCTAGCTGCTGTTGGGATAGCAACTGTTGGGGGGTGGGGGCAGCGGAGGAGGGATTAGCAGGGGTCTGCGAAGGTCTGGCCTCACCCGTACAATAGTCAGCTGGCAGCTGATGCTTTGGCAGTTGGAGAAAGATGATGTGGAAAAGGAAAATCGCTACTTGGTTTGTTTGTTTTGACCGCCTTTATGAGCAGGGGTTTCCTACTTTTTGAACAAGAAGTCTTCCATTTTCATGTGAATGGAGTCCCTCCCCTCTCTCAGGGAGACAGCAGGGGTCTGGTGAGGGGTGGGGTGAGGGTACGCCTTCATGGTGCTATGGGAAGGGCCCAGAAGAAAGAGGGTTTGTGTTGGAGCTGTGTGGGCAAAAGAATGAATACAAGGCTAGAGATCCCAGGGTAGCATTTTAAAAAATTAGTTTATTTCATGTGCATTGGTGTTTTGCCTGCAGTCATGTCTGTGTGAGGGTGTGGGATCCCCTGGAACTGGAGTTGTAGAAAGTTGTGAGCTGCCACGGGGGGGCTGGGAATTGAACCCAGGTCCTCTGGAAGAGCACGCCGTGCTCTTAACCACAGAGCCATCTCCTCAGCCCATCAGGCAGCATTTAAAAAAGCTTTCCAGGCCGCCACATGGAGCATGGACTAGGGTGAGATGGGAGCTGGGAAAGGTACACAGAACTGTCCCTGCAGGAACTCAGATAGGCACTGGAGATGGAGATGGAGGGTGACCTTGAGAAAGATTTATGAAGTGGGCTGTGTGGGACTTGGGGACTAACTGAAAGAGGGTGCACAGACAGAGCTTGGAGAAAACAAGAATGGCACTGGGTTTTCAGGGTGGGCATGGTGCCACTCAGCAAGATGGCTTGGGGAGTAAGATAAGTTCAGACGCAACCATGTGAGACACAAGTACCTATATCTACACCCTGGAAAACTGGTTCTGCAGGCCTGAGTATTTGGAGACAGAGCTCTCCTGCTGTGGCATGTGCCAAACCAGCTAGGATGTGGGACAGGCAAAAACGGCCTCCTCCCAGTGCCTTGTACAAGCCAAGTATGAGAATTGGACCCATGATTATGACTGGGTGCCCTGGCACTGTCTGAGGGGATGGGCTGTCCCCTCCAAATCCTTCCAGCATTCCAAGAGAGTATCAGGCCTGTATTTGGGTCTGGGGGATCCTTTCTGATTCTACCTGTTCCATGTCATCAGGGAAGCCACAGGTCCTCTCTGAACAGTAGAGGAAACTGAGGCCCAGATAGAGCAAGGTGTTATGGCAATACACAATAGCAGCAATACAATGGGTAGCAAGATGAGGATCTTGGACAGCCTTATGACCCCGGTGGATGGGGATGTGGGCTATAAAATCAACCACACTGGAGGAGTGGTGTAACATGGTGATTAAGGCAATGGATGGATCTGGACTAGAATGGATGCTCTTGAGGCCTGGGCCCTTCTTGGACATGTGTGATCTCTATGTTCCTTCAGCATCTTGGTTTGTGGTGAGATAACCTGGTCTACTTGGGAGAGGTTTCTGTGTGAACGAGGGTCTTCTAGGCTGTAGTGCCTGGTACACCAACCTTAGGACCCTTCATGTTGAGGGTCCACCTCTTCAGAGTGGCTGACCCAGCCAGGCAGCCCCGGTCACTAGATCCCAAGGTTGTTCT